CCCCGGTTTTGGGGTGCTGACCCCCCCCGTTTGTCCCCCCTCCCCAGGAGAGGGTGGCCGAGCTTTCGGGGATCCCCCCCGAGGACCAAGTGCTGCTCCACGCCGGGACCCCCCTGGACGATGAGGCCGTGCTGGGGCAGAGCCCCCTCCCCGAATTCACCACCCTGGACCTCTCCACGCGCCTGCTGGGCGGTAATTCCGGGGGGGCCGCTAATTAGCAGGGTGTTAATTAACAAAACGAACCCCCTAACTCCCCAATTTCCTTCCTCCGCCCAGGTAAGGTCCACGGCTCCCTCGCCCGCGCCGGCAAAGTGAGGGGCCAGACCCCCAAGGTGAGCGCTGAGGGGGCTCCCCCCGGCTTTAGGGGGCTTGGGGACCCCGCCAGGATTTTGGGGACCACCCCTGACCCCCCGTTTTTTGATCAGGTGGCCAAGCAGGAGAAGAAGAAGAAGAAGACGGGGCGGGCCAAGCGGCGCATGCAGTACAACCGGCGCTTCGTCAACGTCGTGCCCACCTTCGGCAAGAAGAAGGGCCCCAACGCCAACTCCTGAACCCCAATAAAGGAATTTGGGTCCAATTCCCAGCATTTTGGGGCTCTTTGAGCTTTTCTTGACGCTCTCCTTGCGTTTTTTAAGTTTCTTTTAAGGTTGTTTATGGGATGTTCAAAGTGGTTTGGGGGTGAAACCGGCCGAGAGGGGGTAATCGGGGTCCCCAAGAGCTGACGGGAGGTTAATTAGAGGGAAGCGTTAATTGGCGGAGTGCTAATGAGGAGACGCTGAGGAGAATGAGTCTCTGTGGTGGAGGCGGGAAGAGCCGAGCGCTGCCGGAAATACCCGAGCGCAGCGGGGGGCGGGGCTGAGGGAATCCGAGAATGACCGGAAATCCCCGAATTGTGCCGAGGGACTCGGAGAGAGCCTGAAACACCCAACGGGCGGAGGAGGCAGCTGAAAAGCGATCAAGAGATTTAATTGATCGCTCCGAACGCCTCCGAGCGGTGCCGGAAACTGCCGAGACTGGGGAGAGCCGAAGCACCCCCAAAACCCCCCGGCGTTCCCCCTCACGGCCTCACCCGCCAGGGGGCGCCTCACACCCCTCACGTCTTTTCCCGCCTTTTCCGCCTCCCTCAGCGCTCGCGCCCCGCCCCCTTCCCGGCATGCCCCGCGCGCTATTTAAGCGCCCGTGAGGCAGCAAGGCGGCCATTTTGTCCCAGCAGCGAGAGGGAGAGGTTGGTTGCGATTCCGTTCGGGCCGTGGCCTGAGGGGAGGCTCTGAGGGGGTTTCAAGGGGGTGCGGCGGCATCGATATCCAATTCCCCTCTCCCCGTTCCCCTCACGGTGCGCGTCCCTGAGGAGTTCCGGGAGGGGTCAGCGCCTTCCCCAGGGGCCTGCTCGGGGATGAATCTCTCACAGACCTGTGCTGATGGCGCGGTGAAGAATTTGGAGTTCTCTGAGGGCTAGTCCTACTCCGGCCTGGGGGTTGGCTTGGACTGTGATGGTCACATCGTAATACCTAACGCCTTTTATTTTTTGTTTCCTTTTTAGTATTCATGCCCGAAAAACGATGCTTCTCTCGGAGGTGAGTCTTCAACCAGCCTTTTTGGATTTAGAAAGGTGGATTTGAGAGCAGATTGGGCAGCAGTGCTGCGGGGATGATCACCCTGAACTCTCTCTTGCTGATGGGTCAGTGGAGAAACTTCTGGAACAACTTCTGAGTGGCACTGACCCATGAGGGGGGTCTAGATCCCTGTGGGAGGATTTAAAACCTTTTTGGAACGGATCAGACCCACACTGGGGGGTTAAAACCGGGTTTAACGCTCTTTTGCGGGGGTAAAAACTGAGTTAACCCTTTTTGGACAGGCTTAATCCACGTGTAGAGTTCAGATCCGCGCGAGACCCACGAGATTTTAAACCCTCGTGACACTTGAAGTGTTACAAAGTGCAAACTTTGTCCATAAATCGCCATTTTAACCTTTTTTTTCCTTATTTTCAAAGCATGGAATCCTCACCCGCGGGTTCCCTGTGGCCCCTCCCCAGGTGAGCCCGCTCTTTATAACACTTTTATGTTCCTGGGATAAATATGGGATTTTCTCTTGGAATTCCCTCACTAAAGCCACCCCGGGGGTGCAGATTTTGGGGTGTCCTCCCCGCAAGAGGTGCAGATTTTGGGGTGTCCCCCCCTCTTTTCTCGCTGTTCGGTGAGGAGTGACAATGACAAGCATATGGCTGAGGGTCCCTGATGCCACAAGACCGCTGAGAGCAGCTGGGAGGGGACCCACAATTAACTAATTAATAATAACATAATTAATAATCTATATGATAAATATGATAATCTATATGATAAATACTGTATTGGGTTATAACAATCCTATATGTTGTTATGTGTTAATTTTATACAGTAATAAGTAAATTATTTTATATTGTAGGGTGGGAGAAACCTCAGCCCGGGGTGACCTTCAGGGCACCCTGAAGTGACCACAATGACCCCAGCTCAGGTCAGTGCCACCCCCTAAACCCCCCCAAATGTCCCCCCAAGCCCCCCCAGTCCG